CCTTGTGCCCTCAATCTTTCCCAACATCTGGGTCTTTTCCAGGGAGTCTTCTCTTCTCATGAGGTGGCCAAAGTATTGGAGCCTCAGCTTCACAATCTGTCCTTCCAGTGAGCACTCAGGGCTGATTTCCTTAAGAATGGATAGGTTTGATCTTGTAGCCCATGGGACTCTCAAGAGTCTCCTCCAGCACCACAATTGAAAAGCATCAATTCTTCGGCGATCAGCCTTCTTTATGGTCCAGCTCTCACTTGCATGCATCACTACTGAGAAAACCATAGCTTTAACTAGTTAAGGTAATAGACCCTTCCTCAACTAGCTGTTAGTTAGAAGGGAAAAAGCCAAAATTTTGTGTGAGAGTTAGAAGCAGAGTGCAGGCCAGCCATGCCATCTCCAGGGCGTCCTGGAGGCCCGGGCACCTACAAAATGTTCATTGTGGGTGCCTGGGCCGCCATTCCCTCCTCACCATGGCCTCCTCCTCCTCCTCTGGTGTGTACAGTGACATGCAAATGCAATTTGAAATGGAGCAGAGAAAATAACCTCACCACTAATGTGTTTTTAAGCTGTTAATGTATACATAGCCTTTGTTATGCCTACAGAATGCTGACTGATAATTGAAGGGAAACTGGACAAGAGGAGCAATGCAATGGAATATTCTGAACAAGAGCACTCCATTTCACACTGCAACACTTTGTTGCAGATTCCAGTTTATTTCTTACATTTCAAGCTCTGTGAATCTGGGTAACTTGGTGAGAAGGAATCTGTTATCTCAGCAGAGCTTTGCAAAGTCGTCGCTATGATTAGCTTAACAAAAAGCCTGTTTGATGGAGATGCATCAGAAAAGCGACAGGTCAAAGGGCTGCCTCTTGACACTTGTTTACCTCATGGGCTGTATTCAGCTGAGACACAAGTAGTCACAACTTCTCCTTAAACTGAATCAGAGATTCATTTGCCAGCAGCTGAGGCTCAATCTAACCACATATGCTGAGCATCAAAATGACTGTGGTTTCTGTTTGATTCCAAGCCAACTGTAAATAGGATTGCCACCTTATTTTATGAACAAATGGCCGTGTCAGTCTCCCAGAAGAAATACAGAAGTAAAACCAGTATGTGCAAATGAATGCATGTGGCCCCAATATGTTTTAACTCCCACTGGGTTCTTCAAGAAAAACATGAAAATTTTATGATAATATTATCTAATAATACTTCTTTTTTGCCACAGCAAACACTCTCAAAAATAATACTGTTTCCAATTTCTCATTTCAAGTGGTAAACAGTCTCAGGGCAACTTTTTTATTGCAGGGTCAATTGCCTTGCAAGAACAGAGCACTAGAGAATCATGGCATGCTTGTAGCATATCTGTCTAGTTACAAAAACAGAAATTGAACAGAGTGGAGAAACTGCCACACAGGCTGGCAGTATTGAAAAAGCATCAGGTCCTTGCACTCAGCAGGACAACTGTGCAGCTCCTTGACACTCTGAAATATACTCAGAGTTGAGTGTGAATTTCATGCTCTTTATTCAGCTCATAGTAGCAATGAATGAAACTTTTCCCAAAACGTCTAGCTATATATACATTATTTACACAATAGGCCCCACGTGATTGGCTAATTCCGGGCTGCTCCTGCAGGCCAATCAGGTTGCTGATTCACTTCATCCAGGAGCCTGATTGGCTGCTCCTGCAGGCCAATCAAGTCGCTGATTCACTTCCACCTGGAGCTGGCTTCCAATCAGACCGCTCCATTCTGGATCCTATTCTTCTAGGATTCAGCTCAGTACATAACACACTCCTTGATAGTCATGTGCAAAAATTTAAGCCCGATCTGTATAAAGTGGTGCCTCGGGTTAAGAACTTAATTCATTCTGGAGGTCCATTCTTAACCTGAAACTGTTCTTAATCTGAGGTACCACTTTAGCTAATGGCGCCTCCCGCTGCCGCTGTGCCACCGCCACATGATTTCTGTTCTCATCCTGAAGCAAAGTTCTGAACCCGAGGTACTATTTCTGGGTTAGCGGAGTCTGTAACCTGAAGCGTCTGTAACCCGAGGTACCACTGTATAATAATGGCTACATTCAGGTGTTACCAACCAGAAGGTGCCAGTATGGCACTTGTGTCCGAAGAGGCCTCCTGTGGCACCCAATAATGCTTGAAAGAAGCATTATTTTAAGCTCCATACATTCAGTTGCAGAAGGTGCTTGTTTACAGGATAAGGATAGTGCCCACAACAATTTATCTGATTTGCAGATGCCCCCATGATCTCACAAAGGTTGAAAACCCTTGCTGTGAAGCAGGGTTCCCCAAACTTGGGTCTCCAACTGTTTTTGGGCTACAATTCCCATCATCCTTGACCACTAGTCCTGCGAGCTAGGGATGATGGGAGTTGTAGTCCAAAACAGCTGGAGACCCAAGTTTGGGAAACCCTGCTCGAAAGCACAGTCTAGCCTGACATGAGCGAGCGTTAGCATCAGGAACTGCTGATCGTTGTCCCTGATGTGGTGAACTTCTCAACGGCAACCTCTCAGTAAAGAGCCTTCTGGCTCTGAACTGACTCAGCCTGCTAGGCGTTGGCTCCTCCTGGAGAGGAAGGAATGTAAGAAGACTTCCTGCTTTGCTTGAGCAACAAGGCCAACCTGAACTGTGCTATGCCTTTATCTTTCTTTTGGTCCTGTCTCTTCTTGCACTGATTGCCCTTTTATCCTGACTCTGGTTCCCTTCCTGGTTCCATACTGGTGCCCACGGCTCAACCCTCAGACTAGGTGACCAACAGGCAGGGGCAAAACTAGGCTTTATTTCACCCGGGTCAAAGACCCAGTTTGGCAAAAAACAGAGTGTGGTGATCACACACAGGGCCCCCAGACGTTTGACGGTCTATTGACCCTGTGCCTCCACTGTGATTGCTTTTTCCGCTGCCACCACCCCATATCTCATAGGGATACACGGAGTCCAGTCAGTTGTTAACATAAACAAATAATCAAGTTTATTTTTAAATGCAGGAACAAGCTTATGGTTACAGTTAATTTTACTTGGCAGTTTCTTATTCTTAGTTCCTAACAACTCCAAACTGATTATTCCCAACTATCTATCTGACTCCACCTAATAATTCCTCTCACTCTCTCACAATACAACTCTACCAACCCACACCTAATCCTCCCTCTTCCTTCTTCACCTCCCAAACCTCAACTCCCAACTCAACTCAACTCACCTGACTTTCAAAACCTCCCACTCTAACTTTTATTCCCCCCTTGCATTCTCACTGGCCAATCACATCACACCTATTTTAACCCTTTCCTTATGACCCATCCTAGGAGGCAAACGTAACACAGAGAAACCCACATTTGCGTACACACATGCAAATGCACACACACACACACGCAGAGGCTGGGAGCCTCAATGGTACCCATCAGGAGGCTTCACCTGGGGCAAAAACCCCAGCTAGCCCCCCACCCCATAGCTACGGCACTGCCATCAGGCATGCACTCTTGCCCCTTTCCCTAGGCTCACTCAGGCCATATTAAACCATGTTTTAGCACGCCATCCAAAAAATGCAGCCGTTGGGTTTCTTCAATTGACTTGCAGGGCAGATCATAAAACTCTTATTATTGTGCTTGCACTGCTTGGCAAGAGAGGTAATGCTGTTGCAACAAAACAAAGCAAAACAAAACAAAACAAAACACCAAAGCAGTTATGCTAAATAAAACTATTAATGTCTTCCGTTTTGAAAATAATGTTCATGGCTGTCAAAGTGCAGGGCATTTTATAGTGAAAGAGACTCTGTCTTGAGCAGTATCCGTAATAAGGTGTTGTGAGTCACGCTGTCCTCCTAGGGTGGGACCTGAGTAGAGTGCGGTGGAGCAGTCATTAAGCTGCGCTTTCCCTAAAACCTCCTTTAAAATTCAAGAGGGGTAGCCTTGCTTATTCTGTAGCAACAAAAAGAACAAACAGTGTTCTGGCGCGTTAAAGACCGATAAGTTTATTGTGGCAGAAGCTTGTGTGGGCCAGAGCCATCTCTAATGACTGCATCAAGGGGAGCCTAAGTGCTTGGTATGTATACCTTGAGTGCAGAGAGAAGAGCGCTGTTTCTATTTTGTTTTTGTTGTCCCCCCCCCAAAAAGTAAAAGGTAATAAAGGTCAAGCAATGCAAGAGATAGCTGTAGGTAACCTGGGTCACACCTGCCTCCAAGGTATGCTGCAGATAAAACTGGTTTGCCCAGTCTGGTCGCAGGGAGTGGGGGCAAGGAGAGTTGAACAGAGTAATTTGTTTGGCAGGTCAGAGGAGAATGAATTGGTTCTTGATTTTTGCAGGGAGAGGACAGGCCTTGCTTTGGAGATAACAGTGACGGCCTCTATCTGCTTGCTTTTAAACCCCTATACCAGTGGTTTTCAACCAGGGTGCCTTGAATGATGGTCAGGGGTGCTGTGGGCAACACTGGCCTCTGCCCCTCTTTCCTTCCCTCCCTCCTCTGATGCCCGCTTGGATCTCTGCCTCCCAAAGGCTTGCATGGCTGTTTGTTGCAGCAGCCCTAGCTACAAGCTCCCCAGGTGAGTGGTGCCTCTGGGGCTGGCGGGGGCTTTCCAGGCCTCTGTGGGGCAGTGTGAGGAGGCACCTCTCCTTCGGGTGGGGGTGGGGCAGCTCAGAGACCAGGGGCGGCAGCAGTGGCTACCCGAAGGACTCCCAAGGAGAGGGGAGAGGAGGCTGAAGGAACACTCCAAAAGGGAGGGTGTTTGAAAAGGAGCGAGGGGCTGCTGGCTCTGTAGGCAAGGGGTGACATAACTGGGCTCCTGAGCCCCATAGGAGTGCTGCAGAAAGAATGTAGTTGGTCGAGGGAGCTGTGGACCCAAAAAGGTTGAAAGCCTCTGACCTACATTATAGTATTTGCTCAAACTATGCTTAAGAGAGCCAGTGTGGTATAGTAGTTAGAGTGTTGGACCAGGGAGACTAGGGTTCAAATCTACTTAGCCGTGAAACTCCCTAGGTGACTGAAATATACTCAGAGTCGAGTGTGGATTTCATGCTCTTTATTCAGCTCATAGTAGTGAGGAATGGGAAGTTCCCCCAAAATGTCTTCTTTATATACATTATTTACACAATGGGCTCCACGTGATTGGCTAGTTCCAGGATTCTCCTGTAGGCCAATCAGGTTGTGGATTCACTTCCTCCTGGAGTTGGATTGGGTAGCTACTGCGGACCAATCAGACTGCTGCATTCTGAATCCTATTCAACTCAGTACATAACAGTGACTTTGCTTTAGTCATTGCCTGTCAGCCTAACCTACCTCCCAGAGGTGTTGTGGGAATTATATAAGGAGGGGGTGAACAGTGTACACCGCCTTGAGCTCATTGGACGAAAATATATAAATGTAATAAATAACAAACTTTTGTAAATAGATGGTTTCAAAGACAATAGATGTTTCCAGTGCTGCATTATTGAAAGGAAAGGGTTGCTCCAAACTTTCCATAGTCTGGGAAAGGACAAGCACACAGAACAATAGATTATTCCCTAATGCTATTTAATTATGCTGTACCTAAGGATATATATCGGAAAGGCAAGAGGTTTAGAAAGCGCTGCTCAACCCTGGAGGGTAAAAAGGTATTATACCAACTCAGAGAGCTGTTGACATGAAGCATTTGATAATAATAGATTTCATCATTTCCTTCCTTAAACAGTTCTTTAAGGTTGCTGTGCAGCTGAGAATCTTTGCAAAAGCAATGCAGGGTGGGTGGGGGAAGAGTATGGGCAATATTTGCTGTGTTTTACAATGAATCACACTGAATGAATCCATAGGGTGGCCCAGTTCAGATGCCACGAGAAGACTACGCTTTGGCCCTTTGGAACGTGCTGTGGACACAGGTCCTCCTTTCTCCCTCTTTCTCAGCTTCTTCTCCCCTCTTCCTGGTTTCTCCAAACCATAATCGTAACAATAACAACAACAACAACAACAACAACAGTAATAATAATAATACCACTTCAAACCATTTCCCCCAATTATGATTTGAAGGCAAACTATGGTACAGTCCGTAGCAATACTTGCCCATTTTGGACACCAAGGTAAACTATGATGACCGCAAATCAAAAAGGAGAATCAGTGTATGGGAGGAGAGAAGGGGAGAGAGCACATTACCCCTGCAGTTCATTTCTAACTATGTTTTGACTACGATGTTGAAACTAAGCTCGAGAATCAGAACCTACCAGCACAGCAATACCATAAAGATCAGGACAGCACTGCCATGCTGAGACCTATGGATAAAGGACGGTATACAAAATTAATAAATAATAATAAAAGTACACAGGCAAGCTGGTTGAGCTCCAGCCAGGGTCACACTGAGATTTTTATTCAACAGATTGATGATTGGGAAAAATTGTGGAAAGAAAATTTGAAATTTACTATAAAATTTTGTCAAAAATGTATAAAATACTGTTGGAATGGAACATGAAAGACGAAGAGGTTAATGATACAATGGGCCAAAAACTTTGGGTATAATATACAATTTGATGATTGGGGGAAATTGTGGAAAGAAAATTTGAAATTTACTGCATGTACTGCGTTGAAGGAAAATGTTATGAAAATGTTCTACAGATGGTACATCACGCCGGTAAAATTAGCAAAAATGTATAAGACATGTAATAAGTGTTGGAAATGTAAAGAAAAAGAAGGAACATTTTATCATATGTGGTGGGAATGTAAGAAAGTGAAAGGTTTCTGGGATGCGATTTATAATGAATTAAAAAAGATGTTAAAATTTGCTTTTATGAAGAAACCAGAAGCCTTTCTTTTAGGAATTACAGGAAAAGAAATAAGAAGAAAAGACTGTAAACTCTTTCAGTATGCAGTTACAGCAGCAAGGATTTTATTGGCTCAAAAATGGAAACAAGAGGAAATACCAACAATAGAAGAATGGAGAATGAAATTGACAGATTATGCGGAACTGGATAAACTAACTGGGAAAATCAGATATGCCCGAGACCAAAAGTTCATCGAAGACTGGGGAAAGTTTGTAGAGTATCTGAAAAATGTATGTGATATACAAACAACGCTAGTGGGGTTTCGAGAGGCGCTGTAAAAACCGAGAGATATTGTCAAAAAGAAACAGAAGGGAGAGGGAAGACAAATGGCAATATGTATAAAGGGAATGCGTAATTAAGAGATAAATATGGATGATTGTCAGAGAAGCTGAAGGAAGTCCAAAAGAGATTTGTTATAATTTGGATAAAAATGTACAAATGTATTGGAAAATTAATAAAATATATATATATATATAGAGAGAGAGAGAGAGAGAGAGAGAGATTTTTATTCAACAGAACACACAATCAAGCCTGACCATCCAGAATCTGCTTTGCATGCCTGTGGTTAACTCACCAATAGACAGAGGTTCATCCTGCACAAGTTTTGACCAGTTGCACCTCCAGCCTCTCAGAGGACTCAGTGAATGTTGTTTTGGTCATGCTTGACACTGCAATAAAACAGGAGGGAAGTACCTGTCAGGCTATGATGCATGGCTGGTGGATGAGACTTGGCTTGGCAAACCACAAGTTACGCAAGTCTGGTTTAAGGCTGTGCACACATTATTTTTTTAGTCCATTGCTAGTGTTTGCTCATGACATTAGCCACACTCCTTATGTATCATAAAGTCCCAGGAGCTGAGAAGGTCAGCAATAAAACACCCAGTGTCAGTGAAGTTAACTCTTTATTCGAATAAACCAAAACAGCACAGGCCTAGTGATCACAGGTGGTCTTGCTCCAATGAGGTCGTTGCAAGGAATGAAGATCCCTGCCTTCCTACAGCTCCCTGTCTCCTTCGCCGGGTCCTTCCCCATCGACCTGAGGCTCCTTTGCCTTGTCTCTCTTTGCTCCACCCTCTTCATTCCTCTTCTGGTTCTGGAAGACCAAGGGGAGGGGAGCTGGTCGCCGCAGGAGGGGATGACTATCTGGCTTCTTCACCAGCCTGTTTCCACTGTGCCTCTTGCCTCCGCTCCTCTCTCAACTTTGTGTTCAGTTTGTACCTTTCCAACCACATCCATCCCAACAGACCTTTCCACACAACCCTACAAGTCACCATTGTCCCCAAATATTTGTTTTCTCCTTGTGGTGAATGTTGGCATCGCACTCCCAGCCACAGTGCGAGCATACAAAGCTGTTCATGCTCAAGCATGTGCAGATGAGCAGTGCTCTTCCGGAACCACATCAGCAGGGATGTATGACAGGCAGTGGCAAGACAAGGGCGGGGTTAGGGCAATGAGCCCCATAATTTAACCCATGACAAATTTAAACCCTTCCTTTGTTAAACCACGTTACACCAGTCAGCAGCTGGCGTAGCCCCCAAGATGAAAATCAGCGTTGGAAGAAACTCTTATCGGCTGCATACTGCATCATTAAAGGCTTGCCTACTTTGCAACAGTAGTAATTTTTTAATTCCAGAAAAAGCAGACGAGCTTGCATCACTGTCAAGCGAGCTCGGTCAGGGTATGGTGGTTCAGCGCAACATCATTATCTTACCGCCTGTGGTTTTGTTTGACATTGCTGTGTAACCTGCTTTGTTTTTACACAGCTTTTGCACAGGAAGTTCATCCAGTCACGTATGCATTTGCAGATGCCTTCTGCTCACCCCCCAATGTATTTCCTATCAATTTAAAAAATGGGTGTGGCATGAACAAGTTTTTATTCTGAAGGTTTGGCCCAGAGAATGAAGTTTTGGAACTACTGGGTCAGAGCACACAACAATATGAAGCGGTCCCACCTTCCCACAGAAAAGTTAGGCGCAGAATAAGAGAGTTGTGAGAAAGCGCTGGCAGATCCACTGGCAGAAATTAGAATTCTTATGAGCAAGAGATTTAAGGCTCCCTGGGCTTCTCAAGAGTTAGCAATGGCATCAGAAATGCATACCACTGCTCAGCTCTGAATACAGTGGTACCTCAGGTTACAGACGCTTCAGGTTACAGACTCCGCTAACCCAGAAATAGTACCTTGGGTTCAGAACTTTGCTTCAGGATGAGAACAGAAATTGCGCGGTGGCAGCACGGCGGCAGCAGGAGGCCCCATTAACTAAAGTGGTACCTCAGGTTAAGAACATTTTCAGATTAAGAACGGACCTCCAGAATGAATTAAGTTCTTAACCTGAGGTACCACCGTACTGAGGTTTGTTCACCTGTAAGTTGTTGGTTCTGGGCCACTGGTTTCTAGTAGGCGACATCTTTCATACTGTGGCCATCTCATCTGGGGGAAACAAATATACGCAAACTGTAAAGGCCAGTGTGAAACTTTTCCATTGCTTAGCTAGGGAGCTATTTAAAAAACAAAAACAAAAAAAGAGCAGGAAAACACCACCTCGATATGGCCAAATGGATCTGGTTAGCAAGCTGCCAAAAGTACAAGCTGTCTGGAGGCCATTCCGTCAGCACACAACAAATAATTTGGAATGCTGCCTTCACCGACATCCAACTCAGCAGCTAGGAAGTGTGTGGGATCCTGTTTCACTATCAGACACCTAAGGGACTTCATAGCTCTGCTCTGGTACAAAGCAACTGGGGACAAAAAATACGGAGTGTTACAAAGATTCACTGGCAGACATTTCTTTTAAATTATAATTTGTTTTATGGGTGATCTCAATTTACTGGCTTAATTTCGCTTTTACATTTAAAACAATCAGCCCATCAATGTATAAACAACTAGCAGCCCTGTACGTGGTGTTACTTAGGAATGGTAAGAAACCAAAAAATGGCTGCAGATTTGAAATCAGTGGTTAAAATCACTGCAGTTTTGAAAGGTTCGGCCTGCCATCTTGATTCAAAATGGCACCCCTCTATTTCTAAACGTAGACAGAAACCTGCTCTTTGATCTCAGGAACCATCATGCAAAATTTGGTTATGGTATTTTGAGAAAGATGTCCAAATGCATAGTAGGATGACTTTCCAAAATATATAGTGGTGTAAGGAGTTAAATATGGTATACAGTCATACCTGGGGTTAAATTTGCTTCAAGTTGAGCGCGTTTGAGTTGTGCTCCGCGGCAACCCGGAAGTAATGGAGCGCGTTACTTCCGGGTTTCGCCGCATGCGCATGCACAGCCGCTCAAAATGATGTCACGCGCATGCGCAGAAGCGGCAAAAAGTGACGTGTGCGTGCGCAGACATGCCGTCGCTAGATACGTTTACCTCTAGATGTGAACGGGGCTCCGGAACGGATCCCGTTTGTATCTAGAGGTACCACTGTACAGTGGTACCTCGGGTTACATACGCTTCAGGTTACACACTCCGCTAACCCAGAAATAGTGCTTCAGGTTAAGAACTTTGCTTCAGGATAAGAACAGAAATTGTTCTCCGGTGGTGCGGCGGCAGCGGGAGGCCCCATTAGCTAAAGTGGTGCTTCAGGTTAAGAGCAGTTTCAGGTTAAGAACGGACCTCCAGAACGAATTAGGTACTTAACCCGAGGTACCACTGTACATGCTTTCCCCACCAACTGCATTATCGCAACAACCCTGTTCAGACTAACTCTCTCTCAGCCTAACTGGCCCAAGGTCACCCAGTGAACCTGATGGCTCAGTGTGGTGCTGACCCTGGTTTTCTCTGCTATTACCTTCAACTCTAACCACTTCACCATACTAGTATACTTGGCTAATGCAATAATGTGCAGAATATGTATATTTGATAGATACACATGTGATTATTTCCCCCCTACGTGCTTCTGAAATTCAGTGAAACTTTTTTAAAAACCCTACTTGTTACTGTTTGTTTTTTAATCCCAGTGGATTACATAACCAATGTCTTTTTTTAAAAATAGAGATGCATGCGTATTAACCTCAAGAGACAAGTAGTCAAATGGGGACAAAGTTACAAATAGACAGTGACTTTGCCAAGACCGAACTTCACACAGTGAAACTGAACCATCCCTAGACCTTATATGCGGAGATGAACTAGAGATTGCTTTGTTTGAAAAGGAGAAAAGTGGGAGGCAAAATTAAATTTCTCTGCAACTTTCTACAGTGTGAATTTAATGCACATTCAAGGTCCATTTTGGACATGGCTCAAAGGCATAGTTTAGCATTATGTCAGGGGTGGGCAACCTTAGGTCCAGGTGTCAAATGTGGCCCTTTAGGTATCTTTACTTGGCCCCTGAGATGATCCCCAGGTCACGGCCTCCTTAACTGCTTTTGCCTGACTGGAATGTATTTGAGCTATAGTGATGGTTCTTGTATGCCTGGAAGGAGTGTGTGTGTGTGTGTGTGTGTGTGTGTGTGTGTGTGTGAGAGAGAGAGAGAGATATTTGTAGAAACTTCTAGCTTTTGCATGGCTGTAATGTAAGGTAAGTGTCGCACCATTGCTCCACCTGTTTTGCTTCTGGCCCTGCCTACCACTGCTGGGGTGGGGGGCCTGAAAGGCTGCCGACAAGGAAATGTGACCCGCAGGCTGAAAAAGCTTCCCAGACTGCTGTTTTCCTTTGGTGCGCAGCTCTACCTACCTAGAAGAACAGGAAGCCTTTCTGAAATGTATCCTTGGAGGACATGCATTGTTAGAAAAGTCACTTAAATAACACAGGCGACATCCAGAGAGAAAATAAATCCTGGTACCAAAAGCTGAACAAAAAACACCCAGCATATAATCTGAGGAGAAATAAACAGAGAGATTTTGTCTTTCTTACTTCAGGCCTTGTTCATAGCAGGGACACATTCAAGCAAATACACAGACAAAAACTCCTTCAGAACTACACAGCCAACCAGAGCCCTTGCCTCTCTGGGGAGAGCATTCCACAATCGGGGAGCCACCACACAAAAGGCCCATTCTCTTGTTGCCACCCTCCAAAACTTTCTGGGATGTGGGGAGGGGGGGAAGGAGAGAGACATAGAGAAGTGTCTCAGATGACAAGCGCAGGGTCTGGGTAGGTTTGTATGAGGAGAGACGATCCTTGAGGTATTGAGGTCCACAGCTGTGTAGTAGTCATCGATCACCTTTGTCCTCCAGGAATTTGGTTAATTCTCTTTGAAAACCATCCAAGTTGGTGTCCATCATGAAGGAAAAGCCTATAAATAAGTCAGGATGGCTATGATCTCCCTCCACGGTTGGAGGCAGTATGCCTGTAAAAAACAGTTTCTGGGAATTACAAGACTCAGCTCCTGAACCAGTTGGGCCTTTGGCCTGAGGCAGCAGGTCTTCTGTTCTTCCTAGTCTATGTTTCCAAGCCGTTCCACATAGGAATGATTCCCCCCCCTCCAAGTGCTGGGTTTCCTCACCTGCGTACGTCTTGGCTTCTTCAGGTCTCTCCGTGAAAAGATAGAAACACACACTCTCAATTTCAGGCCACGGTTACCATTCAGCTGTTTCTTGTGTGTTTTACATTTTGTCACGTCATTCTGATTCGTGAGCCTACAGCCTGGCAGTTATACAAATTCCAGCCAGGAAACTTCTCTGTTTAAGTGACGGGAGAGAACGGATGTACCACCAA